AAAACCCTTGACATGCTTTATTAAATGATGAGGATGGATTCACTTAAAAGAAGTTTATAGCGGAAGTAAATGTAAGTAAAACTGTTAGGTCATAAATAACGTAAATGCGACAAAAGGTGGGTTCATGCCCAAAACGTTTTCATAAATTAAATAAGTAATTCATCTGGCCCGCACTGTCGTTCATCCGCAGCTCCTATCACCCAGTCATCCGGGTCAGGCTCCATGGTTCTCTTGCCTACCTGCGTATAGCAAAGGGAAAACAACGCTATACGCTCAGCAAAAGCTGAGTGGTAATCTAACAGTAAAACGCATAGCACATTCACATTGATATAGACATGATCGTACCTGAACTAACTACGGGATACCACGTACAAGTTTAACGGATAAGAGTTACAAATAACAATGATGTCATGTCAAATAAACATGATGCATGAGTTAGACTGCGCAGGGACCCCCTGCCCTTCGGTGATCATCCCCACGCGGTAGATGAGCCGAGGAACGCCTTAGTCACCCCAATGGAGACTAGAATGTGGGTGATAGCTAAGCCTAGCTACCATGTACGTACACAAGCCCTCGTGATGAAAACCCGTTGGATCCCGCAGGTTCCTGGATGGGCCCACGGAAGAGGCGCACTGGGCCTGAGCCCTTGCCGTGGTATGCAACGTATGCCATGGTCCTAAACATGCGTCTAGGATATACATGATGGTATGAATACATCGGTTGGAGAGTGAGGTTATATTCAACACATGCAAATATATTTGATTCCATATATAAACTACTTGTTCAACATGGCGGACCTGGGTTCAGAGCTGGCTGATAATCGATTAACCACATCTGATAATTGATTATCATGTTATGCAGTTCCAAGTTCCGCAAGCCATGATAATCGATTGTCTCCCCATGACAATCGATTGTCAAAGTATTTGCTCAGGACACCCAAGTCCAGAGGGGCCTGATAGTCGATTATAGCTATGTGATAATCGATTATCAAAAGAACCAACCCAGACTTGAGATTCCGCAGGACCTAATAATCGATTATCAGCAAGGTGATAATCGATTATCACGTCTTGCTGAAAAAACTAAGGAGTTCAGTGCGACCTAATAATCAATTGTCAGATTCTGTAAATCGATTATTAAGGCACACTGGTTCCTATTTTTGCCTGTTGGATTTTCATTAAGACGTTGAGAGTTTTAGAAATGAACGTTTATGTTTCCAGCTAAAGTATTGATGAGTTTGCAATGTTTTGTAACGTTTATACTAACAAGTGTGTAATCGAAAGGCCTAATAAACGAAAAGTCATGACGATGTGGATGCACGTAGGTTTAGCCGGTAATCCTATGAATATAACGATATGATTATACTATGAATTCTAAAGTTAGAGGGCAACGTACTCACCTCTAACGAAGGGGTTGACGGAACGACAAAATGCGATGAACAAACGGCGCTAACGAACGGACAACGAACGACCACACGCGTAGGCCTTTTTCTCTTCCTCCTTCTCCTTCTCCTTCTCGCCGGAAATCCTCCTGGAGCTGCTGTGGTCTGGCCGAAATGCACAAAGGGAAGAGGAGGAGAGAGTGAGAGTAATGGTTGGGAGTTACAAATGGGTGAGGGAAAATGAAAAGGAGAGTGGGGTTTTAAGGGAAATGAATGGGGAATAAATGTGAGTGATGATGGTGAGTTAAGGGGGATGGTGTGGCGTATGGGTGTAATTGGGGAGTTATCTCCCATTAATTCGTTCCGTTATGTAAAATCTGACCTGAACGATATGCGTTTTTCCCCCAAATGGGTCCGAATTGCGATCCGGTTGCGTTTCTGGAATCAGACAGTCAAAACGAATATTATGACATGATCAAATAATTTTTCTAAGGATTTTATTTCCAAACCCCGGTCCGAGTTAGTAATTAATTAATTAGATTAATCAATTCTAATAGACCGGGTCGCAGGGCGTTACAGTTATCCACCCTTTAAGAAAATTTCGTCCTCCAAATTTACCTGATCACAAGTCACTGAAAAGATGGGGATAACGGGTGCGCATGGATTCCTCGGCTTCCCATGTCGCCTCCTCAACGGTGTGACTTCTCCACAGAACCTTGACCAACGGAATGGTTTTGTTCCTCAACTGACGGATCTCCCGAGCCAAAATCTCAACCGGCTCCTCCTCATATGTAAGGTTCTCGTCGAGAGTGACCGTATCCGCTGGGATCACGTGTGAAGGGTCTGACCAGTACCTTCGGAGCATAGACACGTGGAATACATTATGAATCCTGCTCAACTCCGATGGTAATTCGAGCCTGTAGGCTACAGGTCCCACACGTTCAGTGATTGGGTATGGGCCTATAAACCTCGGACTAAGTTTTCCCTTCTTGCCGAAACGCAAAACATTCTTCCAAGGAGATACCTTCAAGAAAACCTTATCTCCCACCGCATACTCGATATCGCGTCTCTTAAGGTCGGCATAGGACTTTTGTCGGTCCGATGCCACCTTAAGCCGGTCCTTAATTACCTGGACCCTCTCCTCGGTTTCACGAACTAGATCTGGTCCCTCCAACTTCCTCTCGCTGAGCTCCGTCCAGCAAGTAGGAGTCCGGCACGGCCTACCGTACAAAGCCTCGTACGGTGCCAGGGCGTTACACTCTAAAGTAACCCTCCATCCATCCCATTTATCTTTGTTTTATAGTTTATGATATTTGATCGAAGTTATTTTCAATTCAATTTGTTTAAGTAAATGTAGTGGAATTCAACTGGGTTGTTGTTGTTGTTGTTTAAGTAAATCTGTAAAATTTATGTATTTAAAAATTGCATTCAAATCTCTATAAAACAAGTGGTGACATGTTTATGTTATTTTAGCAAATGATAAAGTAAATAGGTAGTGATTAAAGTTTGACAATATGAACGTTAAAAATGAAAATAAATATGGTAGAGAAGTATCAAATACAGAGTTTATCAAAGTACTATAGCTGAGTAAGGCTTGAAAATCGTATTCATTTTAATGTTAAGAATGAAGAAATGAAAATTATTGTGGGATCTAACTCGAATGTTGTTGGAATAAAGAAATGGAAAATAAATTGAGTAAAATAATACCTGACATTGGACTCCAATGTCATAGGATGACATCCATCCATTTGGGGGTCTATAGTATTTTTTTATTCGACTCTGAATTATTTCCTACCCCCTACACAACAATAAACCCTAACCCCCTCCTCTTCACCCCTAATCGCACCCCCTCATTTATTTTACATTTTGGTCAAAATTCTTTGACTAGAATGTCAACCAAATTTGGGGGGAGGAATTTGGCGGGCTGGGGTGGGGGGTTTATAGGTGGGGAACCACTTTGGGGTCCGACGGAGCATCATAGGACCTCAAAGACACTGAAATCCAATGTAATTTGAACCGTGTAGAGTTGTTCTACCACCACAACCCCCACTTGGTAAATAAGATTTTTTATCATTATATTTTCTCAATAAATTCTATATTGTGGTGTGTTCTAAAGTTTAATATAAGTTTTGCATGACCAAGTACCACTAAACTATGTTGCACCAAACAAGTGCCGATTCCCGTCCCAAAAACATCCTTGTTTGGGTTCGTGGGGATGTCACGATGCCTACATTTTTTGTATAATTTGAAAAGCTTTCCCCTTCCGCGTATGAGTATACATCCCTGTCTCTGTGTAACTTAGCCACGAAATATGCTGTGTCTTGTAATATATTGGTATTGTCGACTGCTAGATTGGTGGCTAACCTAATATCTTGATTTGATATTTTTATGTTGTTAGATCATTATTTGCATATTTGTCATGTAATGAATTGATGTCACTGCTATGTGTCACCTAATAATATGGATGTTGTAGGCTTACAACATCATTTTTCAGAACTACATGTCACATGAGTAACTCATGCATCAAATGACTGATTTAGTTTCACAAATGAACAAGAAGATTCCGGTACTGAGCATAGTTTGTAAGGCGGAAAGGCGAGGCGAGGCGCCAATGTACCTTCATATCGCCTAGGCAACTAGGCGCACGCCTAGGCGACATACATACCTATATATATATATACATACCTATATATATATATACATACATACATACATACATACATACATATATATATATATATATATATATATATATATATATATATATATATATATATTGATAAGTCGTTTTTGGGTTAGTACTTTTTATTTAATTTTAGGCATTTTTAATATTTTTAGTCTTTAATTTTTAGTTGTTTTAGCTTAGTTTTATTTTAATTCTTATTTTTAAATTCTTTTTATTTTCTTTTAAAAATATTAGCTTTTTAATCATTTTTACATTATATTATTTTTATTTTATTTTTCCTAACCCAAATGATCAGATATCTTATTTTTGGAGAAAATTGCAGCAAAAGGCCGAA